TTCACCAATGTTTGACCCATATCAATGTGTTTGACTGAATAGTAGCATTAGGAGCCAATTGACATTATTTAATTTGATATTAGACTGATATTTAATGCTCTGTCAGAAGGTTCACAATACGGGATTCCACCAGTCAGTCAGTTGAGACATCAGACCTGAGAGGTACCCTCTGGTAAATTAAGATAGACCCTGAAAATGACCAATTTATACTATACGTAGTGGAAACTAGTCTTCCAACCCCGATGACTGGCAGGGTCTCTGTTAATTTACTGGAGGGATCTGGAGGGTAAGTTTGAGATAAGTCTTGCGAGGTCTCGACATGTCTCGACCTCGCAAGATATCCCAAGAATCCGCATGATATATTTGGGTTCCATTGGGTAATCAAGTATGGGATCCCAGGGGAAATCTGACAATGGAGTTTTGTTTTTCTATGTGTTTTGCTGCAAAAATCATCGAACTAAATGGACATTGTCACATTGTCAACTGCATGATTTGTGTGAGTTGTTTTTTGTTTTCCCATTTTATTCAGTCAGAAAAGAGCCGGCAATGATAAATGGATAACATGAGTGTACCAAGGAGTTGTGCTTAAATCTCAAACGTTTGCTGGTCGAAATCCAACTTCTTCCATGGTTATGCTTATTTACGAACTGTTTACCCTTGGCTAAACATTCAGGTCGTTGGGAAAGCCATGGGTTCCCTAGGAAAATCATCACTGGTAGCATCATCCCAGCCGTACCCAGGTTGCCTGTTCTGGCTGATGCGAAGACTGGTGGTTCTTTCTCAGTGATGTGCAAACCTGAGATTCCGGGAAGTACACCCCCAACTTGCTAAGGACCCAGGAAAAATATCTGGTTGGTGGTGACTGGAACATGAATGGATTACAGTATTTTCCACAATATATGGGATGTCATCCTTCCCATTGACGAACTCCATCATTTTTCAGAGGGGTGGCTCAATCACCAACCAGAATCAACCAGAATCATGTTTTTTTGTTTGAAGAATTCCATGGAAAAGCCCCATTTATCGATGGGTGAATCGCCGTTTTTGCATTTAAGATTGGAATATTTTGGAGGTATACGACGGTGTACGCTATTTTCAGACAAACCTATCTGAGAAAAATGCAGATTAAGCAATATTCAACATGATGTATCGCAATGTGACTAGCAAAATGGTGATAAGCCAACAGGGAATCTGGAAATTGGCCGCTTCAAAATTCGAAAACAAGCGTCCAAAAAAGCGGTCCATATTGCTATTCAGGTATATCCGGCAACAGCCGGACTTGGTTCAAAGATCCGGACGTGTTTATATCACCTCTCACATCCCATTGCCCTCCCACAAAGCAACGTTCACAGGGAAGCCATGCTAGATATTCTATTCTAGGTCAATCTTAGATGGGTATAGTTTGCTCCTTTAGTCTTTTGGTATCAATGGGATTATCTTCTAACCAGCTAAATTTATTTGTTTGCAGGATAGCTAAGACTGGCACTGTATTCCCAAGATTAGTTAGAAGGCTGGTTGCTTAGTTGCTGAATTTGTTTGTTTGTTAGTTCATTAGTTACCCAGATGCTGCAAGCCACTTGGCCATGTTCGGGGGAAGTCCGAAATGTCTACGAAATACATGCAAAACACAGTACCTCAGGTTAAAAGAAACACAAGATCAAAATCAAAAGCCATCTAAATCCTAGGTCTGATTTGCAACAGTCTAATCCCAGCTACTGTGCAAAAGTTTGGTTGAGATCAGGCTAGTTTGCAATCTAAATCTCATGGCTTACACTCTGAGTCCTAGTTTTGGTTGAGTTACAAGTTGATTTATCATCGTATCTAACAATAGTTATATCTACCATAATCCCAATAATGTAGTAAACCCAATAACAATCCTACCATTTGTTTGGTGGTTTACGGAGCAACTTAGCTAAGTGATCGTAAAAATTACCTCTCGCCAGGGACGCAACTGCTCCCGGCAGCTCATCATTTTTGCAGAGTTTTGCATGGTGGCCCCCGGCCAGTTTGAACCACTCGGGAGTGGAACGGGGAGAGATTTTCTGGAAGTAGCGGTGTTTTTATGGCGTTTCTTGACGTGGTGGTACCACCAAATCATCCAAAATTCGACGATTTTCGTATTAACACATATGTTGTAAATTGTTTGACATATTTAATGATTTTGAAGCCATTATTTTTTTTGATGGTCCCAGATCGGAGCAACACGCAGGACTGATGTCAGATCCCGATTGTCACTATGATGGGAAGCCTGTTCTTAATCAAGAACCATTTAGAACCCCGTTATCAGCCATCATTTATCAGTTACAGCCACTATAATGTGTATATATATGTATATTATATACATACATATAAGTTTATGATATTTTACATGCTCATACTTTGATGGTAACCGGATTAAATGACTGTAAGCAACCAGGAAGAAATCAACGACAGAGGTTTTTTTTTGGTGCCTGTGAATATTGCTCATACTAGGTGAGCGTTTTTGGTTATGACCTTTCCCCACTGAATGATCCATGTGAATGAGCTAGACATGTACCACATTGTGCTACCAAGTAGTAGCTGATGGCTTCTTGGTGGTTGGTTGTTTTGCTTATGCTCGTTTTAGATTGTATTCTTTGCCTCCAAAACTTGAGTTCACGCCTTAGATTTTTCATGTTTTGACCTTCAAACATCTTCAAATCTTAAATCTTGGTATTTTGTTGACCCTTCAACCACGTTTGTGCACAATAGAATTGACTGGCCATCATAGATGCCTTGAGGATCCTTTTCTAGAGCTTGGGGCCACCAAGTTTGCTTGTCAATTTAAGAACTGCCATAGAAATCTTCAACTCAATTTCCTTATGTTCAACTGTTTGGATTCTTTGTTGTCAACTTCTGTTCAAATCTCCCGGAATGTTGGGCTTTGCTAGCGGAAAGTCGGTTGCCTCATTGCATCGATCTGGCAGATTGGATTTGTTTCTTCCAGCTCTTGAGACAACACGTGCCTCGCCTGATGAATGCTTCAAGATTGGGATTGATGTGTGGTATCGAAGTGGTTGGATGGTGAAACATGGTGAAACATGGTGAAACATGGTGAAACATGGTGAAACATGGTGAAACATGGTGAAACATGGTGAAACATGGTGAAACATGGTGAAACATGGTGAAACATGGTGAAACGTAAACATAACTGGGGGGACGTGCCCACCTTGTTGGGTTTTCACTGCTTTTCACCATTCGCAATTGGGATTTTTTCAGCAGTGTCTTAAATATCGACAGAGAGGGATTAAAGACATGATATACCCAATATCTTTGGGGCGGTTCTGGTGGGATTCTTCACAGTAACATGGAAACAAGACATGAAAAAAGGACTTGTTGCAATTTTAAAGGTCAGAAGCTTGGGGAACCTTGAAGATCCTGAAAAAACATTGTGACAATCTGGTTGGTGGTTTGGAACATGTTTATACATTTTTTATGTTCCCCAATAGTTGGGATGATGATCCAATCTGACTAATATTTTTTTCAGGGGGGTTGAAACCACCAATTAGCAATATATTGACACCTGTCAGCTACAAGTTGCTGTAGAAGACCATCGAGCTATAGTTATCACTGGCGCACCTTCTAGGGATTGACGACGATTTTCCATATGGATTTGTCCTAAACTCGTAGCTGTAGCCTAAGATGTTGAGTTTTTTGTGTGGAAACGGGATTGGATGTTTTTTGTTGCTGGCCTTGAATCAGTCATGGCAACGAAAAGAACTTTATTTCTAGACAATTGTCCTTGAAAAAAGAATAAACCGTATATAATTAGCAATGTTGAATGTTCAATTGCCATGTCTGATTACTGAAGGGTAGTAAACATGAGGACTTCAATCCTATGGAAAATAGGGAGCCAACCGACTGTATTGAATGTAAACACGATAGGGGACAAAACTGAATACTCTATAAGTATATATATACACATGTTTTTGTCCAAACTTGAAGATGCACCTTTTTGTGGTGTTTGCGGTGTAGAATGCGTTAGAATCTTGGGCTTCAACAGCAACATGCTGAAAAACCGTCAGTCCAAGTTCTTCATTGGGGGATTCACCCTCAAGGCGATCATCACCCATGACGGATCCGGCTGGTGCTGGTAGATTAATGCTAACATGACTGGGGTGTAGGAAGATGGGATCCATGGCACACCATATATAGCAGCACCATGGATCCATCATGGGTCATGGTATCATCTATCATAAAAGAGTGGTGAGTGGTTGGTATCATGCTTGGGTACACATTAGTGTTTTCCTACAAAGGGTCTATTCTTACTTGAGGGCTTGGGGCTGCAATTGAGGTTACAACTGAGTATCATTATCTTTATGAACCACCATCACCAGGATAATCCCTGTGGTTATTTGTTAATCTAATTGGGGCGTTCACCGACCGAGTGTTGAAGCCCACATGAAAAGTGAGAAAGTGAGTGTTTCACACATCAACCATGATGATTGCTGTATGTTTTCAGCCGCAGATTTCTGCTTTTTTCAGGAAATTAGTTCAAGTCAAGCAAGCCCCGAAACGATAGAAAAGTCAAATCCTACCAATTTGATGTAAACCAATCTTCTATCTTTTCGGGGGTACCTACACATGGCAAACAAAATCGCAGTGACTCAGCAAAGCACCAGGAGCTTCTGGCGCCAAGTGAGGTGAGGCCCTTTCCGAAAACATGGTCTTAGAGAGGCGCAATGACTGAATCCATGGAAAAAAATCTGAGTCATACAGTGGATGGTTGCGAAATCCGGCACCAGTTGATAGGTGGTTTATGGCTCATCCCATGATTTATAGGATGTCAACCTTTTTTTCTTTTTGGTCGCCCTGTGAAGCCCTAGACTGCCATGAGTGCGCTTACACTTGCCTTGGCATGGAGCATCTGGACTGCTATGGCGGATGGACCGCAGACAACTGAACCAAGAGTCGACACTACGACACGAGACCCAACCTCGGAGCCTGTGTGCGGATGTTCGACATCGAGTTTTATTTTGGCCATGGCAGAGTCGAAAGATTCGCCGCTGGTCAGGCAGAATCATAGCAGCTTTAAGGGCCCCAACACCGTGACTGACAACATTGTCATTACTTCGGCAACGTCTCAAGAAGCCTGTGAAGCGACTTTGCTAACGACTTCTGCGGTGGCCTACAGCTATAACATCCTGACTCAGTCTTGTGAGCTCTTTACGAAGATCACTGAATCAATTTCTGCGCCGAATGTTCACAGCGGAGCAACAATGCAGGAATTTCCTATGCAGTGCTACCTGGCCTGCATAGCTTATGAAGATCCACGATGGACTGGTGTCGTAAGGACAAACCTTCCTCCTGTCCATAGAGCATCATGCCAGTGCTGCTTCAATGAGGACAGCTCGAGTTCCGGATCTGACCTTCTCTACTATTTATGTTCAGCCTCAGGTTGCGAAACTTGTGGCGGGACCGGCGTTGGGACCTGGTCAAGTTCCGATTCCGTGTCAAAGACGACTGGCTGCCGGCGAACGTTCGTCGCCGCTACAGCCTTCCTTTTCACATCTTTGGGCCTTTAGGTGAGGCCCCCAAGTTCTGTTTGTTGGTCTATGACATCCCATTACCATCAAATACCTATATACATCTATATACCTACATCCCCATAAACCCTCGTTAACACCAAGTTGTAAGTCAACTCAGCTATTTAGGGGAACTTCACCTTGTACAAGTGATGAATTCGTGCATTGCACTTTGTCCCACCCTCCAGGGGTGATATGTTTTTCTTCGCACGTTTCACCAAATGGCCTGCGTACGCTCCAAAAAAAACACCGAGAACCCTGGCACAAAGTTTCTATGGTAGATGAGGCACTTGATGCAAAGCAGTCAGCCAAACTGGGAGCACAACAAGACGTACCAGAAAGTGCAGCAACCTGGGAAGCTAACTCCTTAAACCACTTTGGCAGTTAAATAGTTTTCATGGCTCGTTTGGGTCTGAAAATGTTGGAGACTTGTTTGGCAACTTTGATGCATACCGGCATAGAAAAATCACACACTCAGGAAAAACCGGGTGTGCTGCTCAAGTGGATATTCGGATATGTTCAGTGTCAGAGGAGTACAGCTGATTTTTTTGCAGGTTGGATCTTCCGTTGTGTTGGAAATTGGACTTGCCACATATCCATACATATCCCACATTTTTGTTTGCCACTAATACAGTCGGGGGGGTTCAATTCAACAGAGCTGGTGCGGCGAAATTTGCGGCTCTGCCACAGTCTGAAAATAGGGAATTTACCACAATAATTGATACCCCCCATTGCCATGTCGCAGAAGGCAAGTTAACAATCCCTAAGCATGCCATGAAGATACCTTGCCAATATCCCGGTGGTGATCTCCAAATGTGTGAAGAAACCTATGGTTTTGTTTCATTCCTTAACCTTTAACCCGTGTTTGCAAGCTATCCTTTCGTAATCTAGGAATCTAGGGTAATTTCACATAGCTATGAAAAATCACTGTTTTTTTTTACCAACTACAAATGAGCCATGTTCATACAGTATCCACTTCGACGGGTCGAACCACCGGACAAATCCTCACAGTTTCCCAATCTCCTCGAACCGAGGCATGGATAGCTCTCCATCGGTCTCTTCAGCTGTGTCTGGGCCCCTGGACCCCTGGGCCCCGCTCGTGCGAAGCAAAATCGTCTTGACGTGAAACAAGAAATCAATGACACTTAGGATTGGGGTTGCTATCTAAGAGTGGGTTTTATTTCAGGTGAATTATGGTACTGGTTGGTGGTTTCAACCGGTTTTTATTTTCCATAATTTATGGGATAATCCTTTCCATTGACTAATATTGTTCAAGATAGTTAAAACCACCAACCAGGATAATTTATCCTTTTCTCCTTCTTCAATCTCCATCTTTGCTGGTTTCTTTGAAAAAATAGCTGTCCTGTTCAAACGTTCCATCAGATCAACCCCTGAGAATTTGGTAGACAATATGGATATGGGTTGGTTCATACCCTGAAAGCCACGCGGCCAGCAATTGGATTATTTAACTGGTTGGTGGTTTGGAACATTTTATATTTTTCCATATATTGGGAACAATAATCCCATGTGACTAGTATTTTTCAGAGGGGTTGAAACCACCAACCAGTTAAGGATTGATGTTTTCAAGATGAAATCCAGGTGGGTCAAAACGCAATAAGCATCCATATGGAGCTTTCCATAGTCATGTGAGTCATGTGGCTATCCCAAGCTCGCTGGATCGTTTATTTCATGGAAAATCCCTATCTATAAATCAATGGGAGATCTCCAGGATCCTAAATGGAGGTACGTTCGTACCATTTTTTTTGCCATATTTTAGGGGGATATCCCCTTACATAAGACCTTATATATGGTAGGTACCTCCATTTTAGGATCCTGAAATTCCCATTGAATAAATGGATGATAACTGGGGGGACCCCCATGACTTAGGAAACCTCCATATGTTGATTGGTGGAATAAACGTCCATTCACCAGCCATTTTAGTGTACCTAGGGTACCAGCGTTTTGACTCATAGGTACCAGGTGCTGTTGGGAAAATAGCTGAAAATCCACCAAACCATCACATGAAATGCAACTTCATCAAAAGACCCAGGTTTTGGTGAAGACGGAGAGTTACCCAACGACCATTGGGATTTAAGTACCTAAAGTAGATTTGAACGAACACAAATCAAGGTTTTACCCACCAAACATTCGGGTTTGACCTTTCACAATCTAGTTGGTACAATGGGTACAAGTCTGATTTGTCAGAAAGTGATTGCAAATTCAGGCATTTTGCGGAGTCACCAACACTCTTAACCCATGTTTGGGAGTTTGTAAAGCCCCCTTCCACCAGAGCATACACCAAACCTATCAATACCAACCTGCGTTGGGAACTCCACCGCACACGATGTCATTTTATTGGTCATGCCCCAGCTGTGGTTGGTTATAACATGTTATAAGATACTTGGGTTTAACAGGGGTTGAATGGATAAATGATCTGGTTCTAACCAGCAGAAATAGGGGTTTTATGGATAAATGATCTGGTTGGCGGTGTCAAACATGAATTTTATTTTCCATGTCATATATGGGATGTCATCTTTCCCATTGACGAACTCATATATTTCATATTTTTCAAGATGGTGAAATTGCACCACCAACCAGTAGTGTAAGGGTGCTTTTTCCTGTTGGCAATGGCCTTACTTGTTTGGCACCCTCTCTCCGAGTTATATCCCCAGTTGATGTCAGTTGTATAACTCATCCCATCATCCGAGAGGAAACGACCTCACTGTTCTCCCGAACCCTGGAAATCATGGTTTTCATATGGGAAATCATCCCAAAATGGCCGCAAGATTCAGGTTAGTGAAATATTATGGCCTTTACCCAGAAGATTGATGATATCACTGCCTTGCCAGAAGTCACGCTCAGCACTGGGCTATCAACGCAGCAACTAGGGGCTATCAACGCCATATCGCGCAATGGTTCGGCAAGGGTCACCAGTATGTGTGGCTGCAAGCGAACCACGATAGTAAGTTTGGGAAGAAGCAAGCCCGAACGCTGCTCTTGCGTCATTTGCAACACGTGCAGGCGCAGAATGTCGCATGGCATGGAAAGCTGATGACCAATGGTAGGCGAAGGAGGACATGTTCAAAGATCTACGCCGTTGTCCCGGGCATTGGCCTCTATCAGGCTTGCTAGCTATGGCTCTTCTTGGCTTTCACACCACGTACCTCAAACAACTTGACCGACCCGGAGCACGACGCGGACCGCTTTGGCACAACGGCTTCCCGGCACACTGGATTGCATTGCCAATGAAGCAAGGTGCAGCAAACCTCTTGAGCCATGGCTAGGAAGCAACTGCTTCCACAAAGTCTTCTTCTGTATTGTGCTTTACTGTAGAAAATCCTGCGGATCGTAGCTCGGAATCGTGGTCACTAAGTCCCCGATTCGTGGACTATCCCTTTTTTAACTGGGGGAAACTTACCCTATAGAAACACATAAACACCAACCAGACATAACTAGGTCAATCTTGGGTGGGTAGAAACTAATCCGTTGGTCTTTTGGTGTCAATTGGAATATGTTCACCAGCTAACTTTTTTTTGCAGGGTATCTAAGATTGGACATGATAATCTGCGGACTGATCCTCCTCATTTGTTCGTGATGGGATGTGGGATGGCTGTAAGGGTTGCTAACACCAAAACTCAGCAAACGTAACATGTCGCACAGTGGACAGTGGAGCCCCACAAGAGGTTGGTTATATAACGTTTTATAAGCCCTCTTACTATATAGATAGATCAATGCACTCTAAGTTCCATATTCATCCCAAAAAAACACTTCTGTTCACGATAACGCAACATCACTAGCCTTGGAGCCTTGTTCCGAACGGATGTGTTTTTTTTTTGGTTGGGTGAAACTGTTTCACATGAAGTATTACCAATTATAGGTAGTTAAAAGGATGTATTAGTTGTTAATAGTTGTTATATGTGTCATACCAATAATCACAGATGTTGTGAGTCACTGAATGTCACTGAGGTGCTTGGGTTCATCATCACCATCGAAGAATCTGCAATGCCTGGGTTTTTCCTTTTCATCCTGCGGCGTAGCCGGGGCGCCCAGGAGGTGCCGCTTGTTGGCTGTGCTTAGCTACAGGTAGCCTAACTGGTTGCCTTTTTTGAGTGGTTTAACTATGTTTTATGGTAGACATAACATGATACAACTATAACTTAAAACATCTTAAAACTAGCTAAGTTGGTGCACATAACTCCAATTTCACTATGGTTTATGGTACTTATCACGAACTAGTTAATCGGGTTTATAAACCAACGTTCACATCACTACTATGCCAGCATCATCCTGTAGGTGTCTGACTCGATCTGACTATTGTCTTTCTGCTAACTAACAGGGAGAATCAACCAGAAAACGCAACAAAAATTGGGCCCCACCCACCATGTTAAACAATGGGTGCATGTTTTTCGCAGAGCTTTCCCCATTTTTCTGCCAGCGGAAATCAGAAGATGGTTGCCATGGCCAAGCCTTAGGATGATTTCAGGATAGAAACTAGGGCCGTTCGGCTGGGCCCTTGGCGAAACTATATTCGGATGGGCACTTTATATTAATTTATGTTTGCTACAAGTGAGATGTTTATTTTACCTAGCAGTTTGTTTTCTATGGAATGACTTAGTTCAATTGTGCAAGATTTTTTTTGACATTGTGGTGCAATGTTTTCGGAACATTGTGATGAAAACCAACATTGAAAGGCCGGGGATATTTGGGGGGGGGGGCGACTCCACCAGATCACTGGCCATTTCAGGAACCGATTCATTGGAGGTACCTATAGCATATATATAAGGCCTATGTAAGGAACATATCCCCAGAAAATATAGCCTTAACTGGTACAGTACCTCCATTTTAGGATCCTGAAATTCCCACTGACATCATGTTCAGCTCTGAGAAAAAAGTCACGTTGGAGACCTCCACAGCTAGGCAAAATGCTATCTCCAAGAGCCTTCCAATATCGTGGACCCACCATCCCGATATCTACCAATATCCAAAACCCCTATGGATCCAAGATATCCAAGTACCTTCTTAGGAAGTATGACTGAGGTATGACTTTGGGGGTTAAGGACCTTCTCAGGAGGTGTTTGGATCCATAGGGAACAATTCCTGGTGACTTCCCCCTACGGTAATGTCCATGGATAGGAGTTTGAGGTCTCCGAACTTTTGAATACAGATCCTCCTCTTCAAGTGTGGGTACAGCAACAACGACATGTCTTCTGCAGCTCTCTAAGTGGGAACGAAGTACAGACTTTTCAGACTTCCAACAAAGATTGAGTGGAGGAAGGAAGCGTGGAAGATGTTTCAAGGACCATCGACTTTCTGCTGAGCAGACTTCACAAGTGACAGTCTCAAGTCGAGCTCTCCTCAAGAGCACGCCAGGTTTATTCAATGGTAATTTCAGGATCCTAAAATGAAGGTACTGTACCATATAAGGCAATATTTTGTGGGGATATTTCCTTACATAGGCCTCAAAAATAGGCCAAAAATATATGGTAGGTACCTCCAATGAACCGGTTCCTGAAATGACCGTTGATTTATTTGAGTGGCATTGCTAAGACTGTGGTCAAGGAATAGGAGGAGAGGATATCTGGGACGGCAGGGGAGACACAAAAGATATCTTTTTCCGCCACTACAGCGCGCAGGGCGGGCCTTCAAAAAAAAAGCCAAACATAGTCTGTGAAAAATTGATCAAACTGATTGAATTCGTGGTTAGAGTGCCTATTGACCAAACAAATTTCAATAAGTTTTGAGCATTGATCCACTGCAGAAATGCACGGAGAACATGATCAAACAATGATGGTGCATCCCAGCTTACAAAAAAGCAAGTGGTGATTGGAATCTATGGCGAATTCGGTTCCATTTCATTATCTTACATTTATTAATTATATATACAATGTGAGGCCCCCGTTCGATAGCTAAGTTGCTGCACATAACTCCAATTTCACTATGGTTTATGGTACTTATAACGAACTAATATTCCTGGGGCTTTTGTTAACCAACGTTCACATCACTGGCCTCACTAACTGTAGAGAGAGAGAGAGAGCTGGGTTGTAGCCATTGATATCCCATCCCTCCTAGGCCAATCTGGATTTTTCTACAGCAGCCTTGGACTTCACTTCACTGGGCGGGGCTCCTGGAAAAAAACGGTGGAATCTATGGAAACAAAAGACTACCCTCTGGTAAACGTTAACAAAAAACTATGGAAATATCCACCATGTTTAATGGGAAAATCCACTATTTTGACTGGGCCATGTTCAATAGCGAACTGTTAGTTTACCAGAGGGTATCAAGTACAGAAATTTCGGCAAAAACTGTGCAAACATGGTGATTTAATCAAGAAGAATGGAGATATATGTTGGGGATATCTTCTGGTAACTTGACAGTTTGCGAACTGGATAATCCCCATGTTCATAGGTAAATCACCGAAGTAAATGGATTAGTTTCCGTGTTTTTCTTTGCTGGGTAAGAAGTTCGTTGAATGGGATGATGATGGATGATGATATCAGTTGACTGAAAAATATTGTTTATATGTTTATGGATGATATGTTTGATGATAGTTGGATGATTGGATAAACAATATTGTCTAATAAAAATATATGATGATATGATATCATTTTGTTCTTGTCCAATCAAAACAGTTGATGATTGGATATGTTGACTGAAAATATATGTGATTATGATATCAGTTGATGATTTTGGACATGGATGTTTTTTGTCCGGGTAGATTTCATTGCAACCGCACAAAGGGGGTCAGCCTCAGCTTCCTCAGATGAAAATTGAACATTTTGAGGGTTGACAAGAACCGCAAAGGCATGTCAGTATCACAATGGCATTTTCAGGGGTGAAACATCACTTTGTTGTGGTTAACTGTAGGAGTGAAAAAGCGCAAGAAATCTGATGTTTACAGAGGTGGAAAAAAAAGAACCCTGGATCGTCAGCATACTGCAAGAGGCATCGTTGTGTCAGCGTAGCGGCATGTGAGCGCACTGCAGCGTCACTGAAATCTGGTTGGTGGTTTGGAAATGTTTGGAATATGTTTTTTTTTATGTTTCCATTTATTGGGAATAATCAAACCACCAATAAATATGGAATAATCAAACCACCAATGATCATCAATAATCATCAATATATATATTTTTCATAATATATGGGATGTCATCATCCCAACTGACGAACTCATATTTTTCAGAGGGGTAGCGAAGAACCACCAACCAGAAATGATGGTGGAGATTTTGGAAATCGTCCCCACATGGCCTATTTTGTCAGGTTCGTGAATCATCACAATCCACAGAGTAATGGTGATAAAAGTCATGAGGCTGTTTGAAATACTCCTATCCCGCCTATCCCCCGAACATCAAAAAATCCCGCACATGATGTCCCACAATGAAGAATGTCCAATACTAAATCAGGGATACTAGAGTAAGTACTACAAGTCTACAAGGGTATTGAATATTGGCAGTATGGGCAGTATGGGTTTGTTTGAAGATGTGTCGGATTCCGGTACTTCAATGTCCGGCCCTCTCCCAAAACAACCACCCTAAGACTCGCGGGTTGCGAAATCCTGCACCATGATCTTCAGGGTTTCAACATGTTTCAACCATCAAAAAGGATGGTGCAGGATTTCGCGTGCCCATCCACAGTATCATCCATAATTCACCAACATTCCAACATGTTAGGTGAAAACCACCTATCTACTACCGCTTTTCAGCCAGAGTTTTCCAACTTTTTTGCGAGTCCAGCAACTTTGCTCGGACTTACTGCTGCATGGCTAGCTTTTGGGCAAACGCAGTGGAGAATGTGAAACGCGAGAAAAATGAGATTGCAATATTGCAGAGGTGATCTTGAAGTTATGAACCGAGCTAGACAAGCAGAGTATCTCAGCCTGGCGAGAGTTATATGGATCATCCACGTGATGAGTTTTACTACGCAGCAGAAACACAGGACCTCGAAGAAGCGCGGATATCTACAGACTCAGGATATACCAGAATTAACCCTGGAAAATTTACAGAAAGTTACCCTCTGGTAATTTAACGTAGCTATTGAAAATGGCCATAGAAATAGTGGATTTTCCCATTAATAGCATGGTGATTTTCCATAGCTATGTTAAATTACCAGAGGGTACCAATCATTACAAACACAAATTGGTTTCATGTTACTCGTTCCCGAAAATATCCTAACATAGTTTCTATATTGAGGATAGTTCAATAGATCTAAGTTGTTTGTTTCCGAAAATACGGTCGGCATTGCAAAATCTCATAGTTCATCATCCCTTTATCCCTCTTAGATCCACTCAAAATTGCCAGTGAACTAGGGTTTTTGCTCGCCATGATCGGCGAAGTTGGATCCGCCAAGCCATCTGGCTGGCCTGGACATCAGCAAGCTGCGTGACTCAGCTCTTTAATGGATTCATGGTGCTTTTAACCAACGGAAATTGTGATTTATTGGCTAATAATGGTGCTTCATGATGATGAAGGATTGTTTTGAATATGTCATATTCTGTTTCCATCATGAATCACCATTTTTTATTTTTTGATATGGTCCCATCATGAATTGGTTTTTCTTTGTACGTTTTATAATGATATGTCAGTGTCAGTGTTGTATTTGATGTTTACCGTCCGTTTTTCTCCAACGTGGGAAATGATCCGACTCAATGGAGGTGATCCGTTCGCTGGGGAAATCATCAAGAATGGATTGTCCATTGCCATGTTTGATTACCAGAGTCTGGGTAAATTATAATATTTCACTAATCTGAATTAAGGCCATTTGGGGATGATTTCCCTTATTAACTATGATTCCAGTGAGGTCGCAGTGAGGTCGTTATAATTTACCCAGCAGTATGTAGTAATGATAAAAATACTGCAAAGTTCTGCGTTTAGAATGTTTGTACAACATATTATAGTTAAATCACACGGGGCGGGGGGAATTCGATATGTTACCTGTTACCTCTTTATCTACCCTGTTTCCCATGATTTGTGTGTGGCATGTTGGGAGCAAATCTGCTACAACTGGGATGTATTGAGAGATACACCAGTTATTAAACGCGAAGCAAACAATTATCCAAGTAGAGGTACGCAGTTTGATTCTTTTTCCATGAAAAACCATGTTTGATTGTTTGAGAGTAGCCATATGATTAATTACGATGTTTGATGTAAAGGTTCATGGGTCAAGCTTTAACAAATAGTTTTGTCTTTTTGAAGCCTGGATTTCAGCAGTGCATGTCACGCTGTGAAACTTCTTGCAGGGATCAACATATCCATAGATTCGTGCTGTTGAGGCCTGTTAAGGACTTCATCCCCATTCAATGGTCATTTCAGGAACCGACTTATTGGAGGTACCTACCATATATAAAGCCCATGTAAGGCCTATGTAAGGGAATATCCTCACAAAATATGGCCTTATATGGTACAGTACCTCCATTTTAGGATCCTGGAATTCCCATTGACCCGTATTTGGATTGCTCAAACCCTGTATTAGATGATTACCATTTAGTAAACAACCATGGCAACGGAAAATAATGGAACATGTTCTAGTTCCAGATGATGTTCACATATGTTCACATTCCAAATGGATACACCATAATACACCGACGATCCATTGCTAGGGTCCCATATTGTTCCTTTGAGGTGGTCTCGTGGCAAATTTTTGGTGACCGTATTGCAGCATAATTTGGTATCCAAAAGTTCCCTTGTGAATAGTATAATACCCATAGGATCCATGTATGGTATATATGCTAACATTGGGGGTATATTAATGGTAAATGTTACCATATATGGCATACATGGATCCTATGGGATATATATCCATAATATAATATCATTATCCATATTTATTTACTTATAATATCATGATAAATATCTTATCCCAAAGTATCCCATGTGCATTTCGACCAGGCTTGCACAAAGCGGTTGTGTCGCAGAGACCTCTCAAGACCGAAGGTCTTGTTTTATTAGCGAGCTGTGCTCGTTTTTTGGGCTATGGCTATGTCCATTTCGTGTGGCAGGTGGGCACTTTCTGCACGTTGCTAAAACGTTGGCAGGCGTCAAAATGAGAGGTGCTTGTGGCCGTCATTTTGTGTGGCAAGCGCAGTATTTGGTGAACTTGGACGACGTTTTGAAAGGGTTGAAAATCGCGTTTTGTGAAACTGTCGTTGAATTCGATTTGGGACATGATGATGATTCCGCGTGGCAGGCGCTGGACTTCGGATGCCTCGGGCGGGCTCATTTTTCGTGTAAGGCGCAATACTTTGCAGACCTCGAAAAAAGTGGCTGAGACCTCGGTGGTATAAAGCCTCCTTTTTCGACATATTCATTGTTCATGTTTCGTGGTGCGCGCAATTTTTGTGAAAATCTAACATGTCAAATCGCTCTCTGTTGTGGCGCGGTGCTTATTTTGAGATCGCCGGTGCAACCTTCTGATCGCTGAGGCTGTGGCGCGGTACTCATGTTGATTATCAAGGACATCTTGCGCAGAGATCATGACAAGCAAATCTTCCCAAGAGGTCCCTCGCAGAGATCTTGCCAAAAGAGCTCTTACACAGAGCTCCTACAGAGATCTCAGAAAGAGATCTTGCCAAGATCTTGTACAGAGATCTTGCCAAGAGACCTCTTTTATAGATTTTGTGCAGGAATCTTACCAGGAGACCTCTTAATTATAGAGATCTTGTTCAGGGAGCTGGTGAAGAGGACAGAGATCTTGCTCACAGATCTCTTTGAGAGAGCTTGAACGGAGATCTTTCTTCAAGATCTCTTACAGAGATCTTCTTCGGAGATCTCTTATACACATCTTGTACAGATAGCCTTGCAAAGGGATCTTGCACAACAGCTTCTACAGAGAACCTGTCAAGGAGATCTTGCACACGATCTTCTACAGAGATCTTCACAAGGGAATTTACAGAATCTAGCCCTCTTCTTCATGTTCCTTGCAACACTGTTTGGGGTCTCTTGCTGGGATAATCGATTGCTTTCACTCCCGTGTTTACTGAATAAGCCACATTTTTTGTATTCTAACTCCAAATTTGTGTCTTTCTTGCCCCACCTTAGAGACTCGCTGTGTGTCTCCCAAATTTTCATCCCAGGTCAGCCAGTGACTGTGCAGCCTTGTTCTCCAATGCCATTTCTCAACGACCTGGTGAAAAGTCGCCACATGTGGATGGCGTCCAGGCCTACACAGCCCAGCTCTATCGCCACGGGCCACTGAACCTGGTGACGAGCGAACCCAAGCTGCCGATGCGACCCTGGGCAGCCGCTGGAGTCGTTCGGAGTTTGGCATCATGATCCTGAAAAAGGGCAAAGATCTGTCAAAGAAACCAACATAATAATGTTATATCAATGATAAATCATGGATATATATATATATATACACATTTATTTAATTGTTGATTATTTGCAAAATGTGAGTGTATATATATATATATGTATTTAATGTTTGTGCAAATATATCTATATATATTTATTTACTGTATATTATATATAATTATATATGGCTGTGTCTTTTTTTAACGGGTGCAGTTTTTAGTAAAGGCAGGAAGTTCGATTTGTGCGAATCATACCCCCGAATCATACCCCGAATCATACCCCCGAATCATACCCCAAAAAATCATTATTATGAATGTTTCTTTTGGGATCGTTTGGGATTGCATTGGCCTCACCTGTTATAATGAACCTGACAAGCTAATTGACCAGTGTCCAGACCCGATGATCCTTGGCTACCTTCACATACCTTCACGGAGTGGCGAATCTTCTCCACGCGCACAGAGTCTCATCATTATCCTTAAGGTGGCTGGCTCTGGGTGGCTGGCTGGCTGGCTAGGTGGCTGGCTCAGTTGCTGCTGCTGGTATAGGGCTGGCTAGTTGCAGCTGGCTGGCTGCGTGCCTGGCTGCTTGCTGTGTTGCTGATGAGGCTGATGAGCGGGATGACTCTGTGTGCGGCTGGCTGGCTGGCTGGCTGGCTGGCAGGCAACCAAACCAAAAATCCGTCGAAGAGGAACATAAGCCTAAGCGTAGCTGAACTAAAGGTACATGAGAAGAACATCCAGAAGAGACGCCGACAGGCCGGCGGATATAAATCATAGATGTGCATTTAAATCTTCACATTCTTCATATTCAGGTCCTGTCCAAGGTCGTCTGGCAGGTCGAGCCATTGCAGCCATTGAGTAGCAATCGTAGTAGGTTCACGGTGGGAAAAAGAGACTCAAGCAACAAAGCTTCCTGAATTCAAAAAAAGATGGGTTTCCGAATCATACCCCGAATCATGCCCGAATCATACCCGAATCATACCTCAAACTTCCCAATTCTGAACCTTGGTACATTTGCAAGATCAGAACTTGTGTTTTGTGAGCTCTTTTCTTTGTAACCATTCGCCACGGGCTAGACTACGCCTCCTGCTGCTTCTGAGAAAAATCCGACAACAGCACCCTGCAGCTCCTGCAATGGCACCAACATGCCAACTCCAAAGCGCACACACACCACTTTAACTGCAGCACCTTGAAGCAGCACCCTGCAGCGGCACCACCAGCCAGCTCCAGAGCGGACACGCCACTCTAACAGCTGCACCCTGCAGCGTGCAGCAGCGCCCTTCACATAGCACCCTTGCAGCACGAGTTGGGTACAGTACGTACCCTCCTTGCAGCACCCTGAAGCATCACCCCTTGCAGCAGCACCAGCAAGCTAGCTCGACAGCACCCTCAAGCAGCACCTTCCACCGGCATCCGCTCACCAGCATGCCCGCTCCAAAGCAGGGTTTACAGCACACACCACTCTGACAGCAGCACCTTCAAACATCACCCTCAGGCAGCACCTGCAGCAGTACCCTGAGCGCCACCAGCATCGCTCCAAACTGTACACACCACTCTGACAGCAAGCAACACCCTGCGCCAGCACCTTGCAGCGGCACTCCAACGGCACCACGATGCCCGCTCCAAAGCGCGCACACCACTCTGACAGCAGCACGCACAGCGTCAACAGCATGCCAGCTCCAGAGCGCTCCACGTATGGTATAATTACCAACAGTTGAAACATTTTCGGGGTAAGTGTAGGTAAATAACTATACGCGGAGGATGCAGGGAAACACTAAATCAAGGTCCGCGAATCATACCCACGAATCATACCCACGAATCATACCCCGAATCATACCCACGAATCATACCCCCTAGTCAAACTTCCCGGGCCGCACTCCTCATTTTGAGACATACCCATATATACTATACAAATATTGGTTTATATTTTTATATGCATATTTATTGTGTCTGAAAATGAGGAAGACCCAAAAAGGGCCACTTTAATAGGGAAAACGATGATAATCCATTGGATTTAGGGATGAGAATTGATTGTGTTTCTCGCCGCCAAAGATGGAAAACACATGGAAACGATTGTGTGTTAATTTGTAGGCTGTTCAAGGCCAAAATGTTAGTAGAAAAATCAATGGCCATTCCAGAATCCTAAATTGGAGGTACCTACCATATATAAGGCCTATTTTTGAGGCCTATGTAAGGGGATATTCCAGAAAATATGGCCTTATATGGTACGAACGTACCCCAGTACCTCCATTTTAGGATCCTTTTTTATTCCCATTGAAAAAACAACCCAACTGTAGTGGAGATAGTGGAGATAACTGACTTGAAAGCTGCACCAATTGGCCACGTTTGATCTTCGACCGCTGGGGTTCCCCTACGTTTTGCCTCTGGATCACCACGACGCTCAGGAAATCTGCTGGTCCTTCAGATCTCAAACTCTCCGGTGATTCAAGCTTGGAACTTCATGAACCCTTATCAGAGGACAGTTGGTTTTGGTTCTGACCACTAGAATCTAGTGGAAATCCAAGAATTCGCCCGGTTGAACAAAATACCTAGCCATCCCATGTGTTACTTGATTGCAACCACATTTTAACGCGTTCATCCTTTACAATTTATAGCATCAATTGTAAATACTCATTGTTGGCTGGGTGAATCCCATGTTTCCCTTATGTTTGATGGTTAGATCCCACGTTTCCCTCATTTTTGATAGTGAAATCACAATTTGTCCCTACGTTTGATGTATAAATCCAATGTTTAATCTTCATTTACACCCATAACAAAAAAAACACATGTGGCTCTCATCCGGGTGCGCTCTCCGATGTGCTCCCTGGAGGATTGAGGTAGGGCATGCCATCATGGCAGTGAATGGCAAAACGGATCCTTACGAGATGCTTCAGGAGACATGAATCATGGATATCCTAATCATGAACTGGTTGTTTGTTTGGAACACGGCTTTTATTTTCCCATATGTTGGGAAAAATCATCCCAACTGACTTTCATATTTTTCCAGATGGTTAAAACCACCAACCAGATGAATCTATACGATGTGGGCACTCGTTGGATAGCCAAGTTGATTTTAAACTACAACAACTACAGTAGGATTTATGGGGAGATATCGAACTAGTTGCCAGGGTCGCTGCAGGGCGCCTGGGTGTTTTGCTGCGTTTGTGCTTTGTTTGCTTCTTTGGGACAGGTTTGGAGGTGTGGGGGGG